AGCACAGCTGATATATACATATCCATGAACACAAGTCCAACTTTAGGCATAAACCTCAGTGAATAGAATGAACATACTATGAAGTAGCACCTAGCTAGGGCTATATAGCTTACTGCAGTCATCAAATAGGTATTTTTAATGCTTTTTCTTTTTTTTTTTGTTCTGAAAATTTTTTTTTATTAATTTACATTCATTCCCTGAGCATCATCACAACATACTAAATGTGGTTTCCCATCTAGAATAAACTGCATAGTGGCTTAATCATGCATGTTATCATCCATAATATTCCATTTCTACTTTCATACATATTGTTTTTTACCCCATGTCTGACCCTCTGCCCTTTCCCACTCTCTTATTACACTATCTCTGCTGTCTCCAGTTGTCTTCCTTTTCCCCTAACATTTTGTTGATCACACAATATCATAGGTAATCTAACCACTTTCAATAGCAAGTTCAGCTGGTGGTTTCAAGAAAAGCAGTCTTGAACTGGTAAGGATATTTCCTTGAAACTTAAAGTCTAGAAACAGGTTAGTATTCTGTTCAAATAGTAGGTACATGAATCTACAGCCAGAACAGCTGAATTTTAAATGAATTTTTAAAAATTGGAAGCAGGACCAAATGATGCTAACTCCTGGCTGTCAGTCCCAAAGCACTCCGAACATATCTAAGGGTGTCCTCTTGCTGCTTTGGAACAGAGCTGTTGGCCAGGAACTCCCAGCCTCCTGCTGCGGACCACCTCCCATTTTCTGGGCTTTCCCCCTCTCAGCCTGCAGGCACCTGCTCTGCCCGGTTTGGTAGGTGGCTCTGCATGTGGTCTGAGGTGCCAGATGCTCTCCCTTAAAAGATTTAAATGCCAGCGAATTTTAGAGGACAAATCCACTGTGAGGAGAAAAAGCAAAAGTGAGTCCTGGGGAACCAGCAGTTAGCGTAATGGCTATGTCGCTGGACTCTCACGTAGTCGACCACGGTTTGCGTCCCGGACCCTGTGGCTTAAAACTCACGCCAGGCGCGTGTGTGTGCGTGCCCAAGATCCCGAGAGGAGAATTGAGGAGAAGGGATTGCGGCGTGACCATCCCCCTGGGGGGTGATTTCTCGCTTTCTGTCTCTCTGTCTCTCTGTGTCTGTCTGGCGAGCACACGCGCCCTATAGCGAAAACCTATCAAAAAAAAAAAAAAAAGTAAGTCCTGAGGCGGACTTTTAAAAAAGCAGACTGAAATGTGTAGAGCAAGTTGGCGGTTCTCCACACCCCAGGCATTCTCTAGGATGAGCTGGGTAGGTGGTTCCCATGAGGGGTTCTGCGACAGCAATAGGGTTGAATCCTTCCCCCTCCCCCTCCTGTTCCTCCATGGAATCCGAGCTGAGGAAGCTCTCCAGGAGGATGGAGGTTCCCTGAGCAGCCCTTTTGATAACACGTCCCATCATCCCCCGCCCCCACAAGGGGTCTGCGGCCAACACGCTGGTAAATAGCAGGTAGATAACTTTGAACTACCGCTTTGAAATCTGCGCCCACCCAGGCCACGTCATGTCACAAACTAGGATGCGCCTCCGGGAGGTGAGTCTGAACCCACCCATTCGCACCCCGCTGCACCACCTGCCCAGGAGGCCCTGGGCATCTCCTCATCCCCGGGAGGGGTAGAGGCAGGGGGGCGCCTGCAGGGGTATTCCTCTGCATGCTTCACGACCTCCCTGTACTCCGCCAGAGCAGTCCTTGGACTCGCGCTTCCGAGAAATTTCCGGAACCAGCAGAAAATACTACGCGTTAGAAAAGCTGCTTCCGGCGCTTGCACACAAGGCAGTGAATCCGAAATGTTCTCAGGGCTTTCGCTTTAGCCAGGGTCCCTGCGGGACACTCCCCTGCCCCCAGCCCCTCACCTCCCCGCTCAAGCACAAAAACCACCGCCGGAGGTAAGGGGTGCCGTTTTCAATGGGTCATCCACGAGCCTCTGTAGCTTACCGGCAAGTCTGAACCCATTTTCACCGTATTATTATTATTATTATTATTATTATTAGCAGCAATAAGAGAGCGTCCCAGCAAGCGCTCGTCTCGCCACGAACGCCCCCTGTGAATGCCCGGCTCCGCGTTCCCCTCCGTCGGCTGGGGGGCGGGCGGACCCAAGGCGCGACACTCACCGCTCCCAGCGCAGCAAGGAATGCAGGCGCTCCACTCGCTCCTCGGCTTTAAACGGCGCCAATACTGCCCGCCCCACGGCCCGGAGAAACGAAACTCCGCGGACCCCAGTGTGAGAGCGAGGGGCGGGTCCAAACACAGAAATGAAACCCAGTCCTCTGCGCTAGCGACCGCCCCATCCCCCTCACACACACCCGTCTCACACCACCGGCTGCAGCAGTAGCTTTCTGTGAATGCCTGGGAAACAGGCGTCCCATTCCGACCTGCCGACCTGCCGAGGCGCCCCAGCAACCCACGTTTCTCTGAGCCCTTCAGAGGCTTCTGTTACAAGAACCGAGGCTCTACTAGCCCTGAGTCAGCCAAGCCTGAACGTAGCCTTGAACCGGAGACCATCAGACTAGATGCTCTCTGACCCCTGGTCTTGGAAACAGGCATACTGACACTCAGTGCCTTCAATTCTTATAGCGGTGTACGTGCCCTTTCTGTATTCATGGCTACAGCTCCCAGCTAGTCCTCCTGCTAACCCTGCACTCTGCACAGCCACCTGTCTTCCTCCTTTCCTGTTTCACTGGGTCCACTTGAGGCCACCCTGGAGTTCAGCTCATCTGAACTCCCCAGGATGGAAGTGGGTGGAGGGGGAAGGGGAGTTGCAGGGGTGGCCTCCCCACCAGGCTCCCATGCCCAGCTATCAGGGCTGTGGGTGGAGAAAGACATTTCCCTTTGGGAGCCGCTAGCACCTCCATTCCCTTTAGCTTAGCTCAGAGTCCCTGACAAGCCCCCTAAAGGCTTTTGTGATTAGGAAGTGTCATCCCAAAACCTTGCCAAGGCCCAGACCCTGCCCCAGCTCCTGATGTAGAAGAGCCTATAAGGAGCCTAGTTTGATGTGGCTGCACCAGAGGCAGGGAGGAGGCCCACCGCCTGCTCCCTGGCCTTTAGGACTTCTTGCTTTGCAAAGTTCCACTGGGGCTGGCAACCCCAGTTCTTCTTTGGCCTTTGCTTTTGGTACACATTGTTTATTATATGCATGTGATGTGGACATGCCCTGCAGAGATCAAGTGCTTCTTTTGGGGGGCAATTCAGTCTTAAAATAATAGCTCATATGCACTGAGCACATAGGAGCCAGCCTGACCCATTCATGTACAGTCACTCACTTTTGCACTGCCCCATAGGAAATGCACAGCACCCTTTGTAAATGCCAGTCCTGCCATGTCCATCTGTGGCCTTTCTTTCCCCCTTAGGCTCTTGGAGCAATTCCCCTCCCCTGTCATGCCTGTCTCGACAGCTGCCCTAGGTTCTTCCAAGCCTCGGTTGAATCTCTTCTGAGCCCCGCTGACTTTAGCCCAGGCTAGGATGGGCTAAAGTTTGGTGGACCTCTGGATAGTGGGGGGTGTGGCTGTCACCTCCATGGAGGCAGGGCCCACCATGGGGCTTGGCATATTTATAATAGGTGCTCAGCCAGCGTGAGGTGAATTTTACCCAGATGAAGTGCCCAGGGCCCTCACCATAGTGCATCTGCCCTCTTGGTATTTTTCCCACCTCTACTAAAATGTATCCAGCAGAAATAGCATCCACTGGGGAAGCATGTTAGTGGCCAACCGCACTGGCTCTCCTGTGTAGTCATGCTGCCTCAGCAGGGCCAGGTCCCTGTAGTCTGGCCTTGCCAAGGAGAGCTGAGGTAGTGTTCATGGCAAGTCATCCTGGAGAGGGGTGCTGTGGCTGTTCCTGACTTCAGACTCAGTTTTTTTCTCAAACACCTGTAGGCTGTGGACAGCACCCTGTTTAAATGCCTCACGGGAGTCCACGGAAAGGAAGAACATGCCTCCCAACTGCTCTGTGTGCTCAGCCTGGGGTGCAAGGCCCTGCTAGCACCCCGCCTCTCCAACACTCCAATTTCTTCCCTCCTCCTCACTATATGAGCTCCCTCCAGCTGGAGGAGGGAGTTGCTCCTTCTCTCAGGCTGCTCTGGTTGGACCTGTATTCCCCTTGCCCTCCGGGCCCAGTGTGCTTGCTTCCCCTGGGTCTTCCCTAACGCCCCACTGGCATCCTCACCCAGGGAATGGTGACCCTATCACACCTGGCCTGTCACCAAGCGGAGGCCTGGGTCAGGGTGCAGCTCAGGCCACACAGTCGGAGTCAAGCACAGAATAAAGGGCCATCTCTCCTTTATTCTCATCCCTTCTATCTGAAACATAACCGTGTTTCAGTTTCCGCCGTCTGGCACTGCTTACCGAAAGCATGAATGGTGAGCGCAGGAGGACCCGCCCACCGGCGACTCCCAAGGCTGCCTAAACTCTTGGATTTACTCCACTGTCTTTGCCCGCAGCACCCACTCCCTTCCCGCCACTGCTTGCGTTTCCCAGTCAACTCGGGTTTGTGTTCAGTTTCGTTTCTCCTCTGCGGTCACAGGAAAGGAAAGTTAGAGTGCACCTGCGCCACTTCTTATTCGAGAACGCAGGGTCGGGGTGGGGGCCGGGGGAAGGCGGGATTGATGGGAGAGGAAAGCGCCAGAAAGCTCTGGACCAGCGACAGACACCGCCCCGCGGATCTGCGTCAGACGGACGTGGGTTCCTGTCTGCTGAAAGCCTCTGTGCTGTGAGAATTCAGGAGCTGTGAGCAGCCAGCTGGTGTCTGGGTCTTGGGACCTAGCTGGGTATAAGGGTAGCCCAACTCGCCTTCATGTACTGGGGGAGGTTGTGATTTCCAAAATCATTTTTCCTGGTTAGAGCGAGCTGTCCACTGGCATTCACAGACGAAAAGAGATGTTATACGGTAACTTCTATAATGTAAGCTGGGTCCACTTGCAAAAGCTCTTCCCCTCTCTTCTACTTCTCCCTCTTTCCCAGTTCCGCCTAGACTGAGCGAGTGCCATGCTGACTTCCATGCCAGTGCTGGGGCTATGCGAGTAAATAAGGCAAAGGCCAGCCTCTGGGGAGCCCGGTGAGTACATGCAGTGAGCTGCAGCTGCTGCTCTAGAGGCCCGGATACCCAGGAGAGGGCCTGTGAGGGTGGGGGAAGTGGGCAGAGAGGAAAGTTCAGGAAAGGAGTCCCTTGCTCAGAGGAGGAGAGGAGTGGGCCCACTACAAAAGCTTATTTCCAAGGCTGTTATTTATTTATTTTTAAAGATTTTGCTATAGGGTGCATGCACGAGACAGAGGGAGAGGGAGACATCATCTCCCAGGGATGATCCCTTCACCTCCATTCTCCTCTATTTTAGGCACTCACACACATGCACTTGGTGTGCTAGTCGGGAACTAGAACCACGGAGTCCGCTATGTGGAATCCAATAATTAACCACCACGCCATCTGTCAGCCCCTCAAAGCTCGTTTTTTATTTCCAGATACAAATGAAAAGTACTTTAAATTAATACCCCCCGTGATCTTTGCTTGCATCACAGACAAGAGAACAGTGGAGCGCTGTGAAGCTTATCTGTGGATTTCTGTACTGTACAGTGGGGCCAGACCTAGGAACTCCGCACATGCCTGGTGGGAGCTAGGTCAGCCTGGCAGTGAAGGCTCCAAGCTGGGAGACAGGAGCTCAGCCGAGGGCCAGCTCTGCTCTGGGCCAGGCTTTCCAGTTCTGAGACAGAACTGGAGACAACAGAACTGCTGTTTCAGATTGTGACCATCCCTCCTTTATTTCCACCCCTTCTACTGAAATACAATGAACCACAAGCGCTGACTACTTCTCAGAATAGAAGCCTCATCTTTGTTTTTGCTTTAATTTGCTCTAGGGCATGTGCACCCACCAGAGAAAGAAAGTGAAAAAGTACCCCCACCCCCACCCCAGGATGGGGGTGGGAGGATAACCAGGCTGCAATCTCTTCCACTCTCTTCCAAAGTTTGTTTTTGTTTTTGTTTTCTTGTAGAGGTTTGGCCTTAGGGTGCATGTGCTTTTGGGAGAGAGACAGAGACAGTGAGAGGGAAAGTGAGAAATCACCCCTAGGAGGATGGCAACACTGCAATCCTTTCTCCTCCATTCTCCTCCAGGGATCTTGGGCATGCACACACACACACCCAGCGTGAGTTTCAAGCCACTGGGTCTGGGGCTTGAACCACAGTCAGCCATGTGGGAGCTCAACAATGTAACCACTATACCATCTGTTGGCTCCTTCCTCCCAGGATTTTGGGCATGCACATACGCATACCCATTGCATTGCTCAAGCCATCACTTCCAGGACTTGAACTGCGCAGCTAACCATGTGGAATATAGCTGCCCCACATACCATGCCACCTAGCTGGCCCCGAGGAGCTCTTTCAAGAAGTATCTGCCCAGGGACCAGCAGTTAGCATAATGGCTCTGTCGCTGGACTCCCATGTGGTCGACCACGGTTCGTGTCCTGGACCCGGTGGCTTAAAACCCACGCCGGGCGCATGTGCATGCATGCCCAAGATCCCAAGAGGAGAATGGAGGAGAAGGGATTGCAGCGTGGCCATCCCCCCGGGGGGTGATTTCTCGCTTTCTGTCTCTCTCTCTCTCTCTGTCTGGCATGTGCACGCGCCCTATGGCAAAAACCACTCAAAAAAAAAAAAAAAAACAAGAAT